GTGCAGTTGTCTCACCCCCTGCCGAAGCCTCTCTCTTTCCTTGTCGTTCTATGAGAGAGAAGAAAGGCTCTGTGTAAGACTGAAAGAATTTTATGCCTTTACACACCACTTTCCCACTACTTCTAGCGCTTTGTGAAACTGCATAGGTTTCCCAGAAGCCCAAGGTTCCCAGAGACAACTGTCATCTCTTACTTTCATTTGTTATGCCCAGGATCACCTGCCCAGTTGCTCCCCCCATAAGGCTCAAGTTTCAGTCTGTTCACCCCTGCTCCGCTGCAGCCACACAGTGTTGGCAGATGTGCCCTCCCACTGTCCCGTCGTTAGGGAGTCAGGCACCAGAAAAAGAGAGAAGGTGGCTCCTTACTCTTCTTCTCATGCTTGTGGCGCAGTGTCTCTGCCTTCATACTGTAGTCCAGTTTCATCAGAATAGGCTCCAAACGTGTGTACATCCTCTGGATCAGCTCGTGGTAGACCACCAGAGGCCACAGCAGAATGCTGAGCACTGCAAGGACAGGATGAGGGGAGTGTGAGAGACAGATCGAGCACAATCCAGTCCTTTGCGAGGCACCAGCAAGAAATTCTGCATCAAGGGAAGCAGAGTTGAAGGACTTTCGCTTTCCCATCTGACTCTGCCTAAAATCCTCAGCCGCGGCTATTCTTACTCAATTCTAAAGCTGCTTGATTAACCAGGTTTTCCTAACCGATGTCTGCTTGGATACGGATTTATGTTAAGATGAAGTGTAAGCCCTCCTCTTCAGCCACTGCATCCCAGCCCCAACAGGCAATACAGGCCCTGAAATGCAGTTATTAAAACTAAAAATCACCAAAACATGTATGAGGGAAGCAGCATAGAGCTCATATGTAGATGCACTAGCAGCAGACCACCTGAACAGTCCTCAAAGTTAGCAGGGACTCACGACGCAGTTAAAAAGCTCTTATTTACTCAACATGCAGCTTTTTTAACAACTCTCTCGATGCGGATTTGCCCACTCCAGGAGCTGAAAGATTGCAGCTTTTGGCTTGTCTGGAGCCTTCTCAGCGCCAGCCGTGGGTAGAAGAGGAAAGCAACGTTTCAGCGACGGCTCCCTCTCCTGACTCTGCAGCTGTACTGCACTGCCTGGACTGATTAACCGTCTAGCACAGACACCCCCAAGAAAAACACAATTTTGCTTCTACCAGCGTTATCAACAGCACAGTTAGGTCACGCTTCAGCTTAAGTCAGACAAAAGAGCTCCTTATACTCACAAATGATGTAGGAGATCATTATGCCTGGAACATAGTGTCCAACTACAGCCAGTATGAGGCAGCCCGAACAGACACTCATGCAGAACTGAAGGAAGAGAGAGGGACAAACAGAAGTGACAAGAGGCAGAGATACATCGCCGCAACCAGTGGGGGAAACCCAGTTAGAGAAAAACGAGGGATGCTCCTAACGTACCAGCATCGCACTGACTACGTTCAGACGCCGACAGTCACGGCTCAGCTCGGTTGGGTTAAGCTATAAGCATTAGAGAGGTTCAAGCGCAGGGAGACCGAGCTAACCCAACACCCCAGTAAGATGAACTAAAACTCTGTTGGACAGTTCTTCATGAAGTAAATTATGTTCCTTAAGGCTTTAGAGTTTTAGAGTACATCTCTCCTGCAGATCTCAGCTCTTTAAGAGAAGCCTGTACTATCCCGACGGAGAATAAAAAGCCGCTACAGAGTCAGCAGATGCTGTGCCACTGCCACGCCATAAACCAGCTGGCAGAAGCATTAGCTGAACCCATGCTCCTACCAGACCAGGACCTTTCTCCTCTGGAAAAAGTGGAAGCATAATGGTGCAGCCCTGACAGATTGTCCTGTGTTCTCCTGGCAAGGGGCAGAAGTGAGAACTGACATCCTGCAGGCCAGGGCATGGGTTCGGATTAACTACTAAATCCAGCAATGAAGAGCTTAGTTCACAATGAAAATGTTCTGCAAAAGTGAGGGCCCTCTAAGGGCTTTGCTCCCAATGAATTCACGCTTTACGGGCACCTTGGTCTTGGTCTCCTACTCCCTGTACTCGGTACAGTGCTTTAACAGAGGAGGAGTAATAAGCAGGAATTGAAACCCACTCCCTTTCGCACTCTGGACCCCAGCAAGCCCTATACAATCCCAGTAGCTGGTCTGTTCTGGTTTTTTGTGATGCTAAAGCAACTCCTGTCTACAAATCCTTTCCAAACAATACATGTCACAGCCATCAAAACGTGGTTAATGACAAGTTAACCCTGCTGCATTTGGACTTTGTTAGCTACAATCTTGGCTGGCAAAATAGGTGGGACCAGCTTAAAAATGGAGCCTGTGAAAGGAGCAGAGACTGTAGGCTCTTCCTTTTTTCCCCCCACTCCCAATCTAAGAGCTTCCTCTGCACTCTAAGAAATAAAATTAAGCATAGGTAGCCATTCACAGAAGGGGTTAAGGTCAGCTCCAGTTTACACATACTAGAAACCAATTACTCATTATTTAAGCTTAGAGTCTGAAAGGAATGAACAGCAAATGTCAGTCAGGGACAGCAATTGTAAAAATACTGATTTTACATTCTTTCATCTCCTAGGCTGCTAGTAACGTAAAGCAAAGCCCCTGCACAGAAGAGTAGGTATCTCCAGCTTACCTTGGCAGGATTTTGCCTCTTGTACTGTAGCAGTTCCTGCAGGTACAGCCTGAAGGTGACCCAGCTCTCTGCCAGACAGTGGCACAGCTCAGGGACACTGAGCAGGTGAGGCTGTGCCCCTGAAGTCACCCCCTCACTAGAGACAGACAAGAGCAAGAAGACAATCTTTGAACATGGTCTGTTTTGTTGCAGGGAGGGGAAACAGCTGCGCTGGGAAGCAGAGATCCCTACCAAAGGCTTGACCACACTGACTGCATCTTCAACTGAACTACAAAAGATGCTTGATTTGGAGATACTTTTTTGTCCTTTAACCAGGAAGGCAGCTAAGAGACACCTGAGCCAAGCAGCAGCAGCACACCCCATGCCACAGCATCCCCAAGATACAGGCCCAAGATGCAAAGCAGCTTATTCAAAGCCACGCAGACAGAAGAAGCACTGGAGGTGGAACTAGTTACGTGGCCTCCTCTGGCACCAAGTCCAGGGTAGACAGAGTGTGGTGCTCAGACCCATCACCACGGCCAAGCACAGGATGCAAGTCACACCACCACAGAGAGCACGTATGGCCTACGAAAGTCAGTCTGGGAAATTCCGTTCTCTCGGGAGGATTCTTAAAGGAGGATCTCTAAAGAGGATCCAGGGGAGAAACTCAAATGTTCCTAACGTCAGAAGCACTTGTGCTTTACTGCTACTGAATAAACACCAGCTTTCTCCAGAGTCTCAAACTGTGGCTCCCGAGCCGACAAGCAGCTCCCAGTGCAGGAGAAACTGCTGCCAGCGTTCCACAGCAGGAGCCATGCAGTCTATAGACAACAGCAAAAAGGGCAGGTAAGATCACCACACTAAATTAAGGCTTCCCCACTCTCCCCTCTCACCAAGGAACACATCATTGAGCTTACCTCTCCCCTCCCGGCTCCTCTGATGGCTGTGCTGTAGAGAGAACACAACAGATTAGTCAGCCAAGTGAAAAATACAACCTGACACTTTTACCACTGGAGCAGAGCAGAGCTGGAGATGTATCATCCTTAGCTAGGAATGCACCCTAGGGACCTTCTTTGTGCTCTCATGCAAGCAGGAAGCACTGGCTTGGAGTTTGAGCTGTGTGGGCTTTAGTGAAGCATGTCTGGAGCCTTGGAGCAGCCAGAGCACTGGGCTCAGGGTGCCCCAGCACACCTTGCAACCTGCATTGACAAAATGCCAGAGATGTCCCTGCTGCCTCTCTCCTTTCCCATGGAATTAAGTAACAAATAGCAGCCTTGTGTATAATTACCTAATTTTAGGCATCTTTTCTGTCCCCTGATAAACCTTTGTGCCGGGCACAGATATAACTACACTCCTGAAGTCTTGTGGTCTGGATAAGAGTAAGGAAAAGCTGCTCCCGTTCTTCTCTGCACCCAGCCCAGTGATGATCAAACAGGAATTGCTCCATAGAATCATAGATCATTTTCAGCTGGAAGAGACCTTCAAGATCAAGTCCACTCTAGTGTCCTGCAGCTGGTTGGGAAAGATACATCTTTGATGCTGTCTGGCCAACAGCAAACTTGGTCTAAAAATCAGTGGGACCCTTTCCCCCACACTGCACATCACCACATAAAAAGGACTAAAATAAAGGAAGAGAGTCTATGTTCAAATTGTTAGAAATGGTCTGAAAAGTGCAACATGAGCAAAAAAGGGATTAAAATCTTCCCTACAGTCACCAGGCAGATGCAAAGCCCCAAAGTGGCAATGATTCCCTTGGGGAAACGCACGCAAGAGGTGGATGTCAATCACCACCAACACCCAGTGAGATTTCAGACTCTGGTTCAAGCTGCAGGGGAGAGAAACTGCTCGTAGCAGCCTTGCTACCGCTGTTCTCCCAAGACACAGAGGATGTGGGACCAAGTCTGTCGCACGCCCCCCCCCCGCCGCTGCCGGCTCGCACAGCGCAGCGGAGCGCAAGGCCATCCATCCGCCCAGGGGAGGAGGCGATTCTTTGAGAGCGTGACCCAGATTTCCAGTAATCAGGCCTGACAAGAGGAGTCAACTGCTCTCAGACTGGGCTGCTCCTCTGTCCATGGGGCAGCTGGCAAGCGCGGCTAACGACGAGAGCTCAGGGCGCAGAGCGAGCATTACGAACTCGGCTCCACCCCCACGGGGCGGTTGCTCCTCTCATGCGACCGCCATCACCACATTTTGTTATTGTGCTCAGGAATCTAAAGCTGCTTAATTGCAGCACGCAGAAATCCAGCTCTATCTCAAAGCCTCATCTACTACCTGTGCTAAATCACCAAATAAATGACATTCGGCTCTGACCCCTCTATGAAGGCTGGTTATACTGGTTGTACTGGATACCGAACGAGGTGTTGGGATGTTCGCTGTGCTCCGCCGGACAGATGTGCCAGCAACGAATGTCACAGGAACCCCACTCCTCTCTGAGTGGCTGCAGTAGTTCCAGCCATCCAAAATATGCCAGCAGAGGGAGTGAAACGGTTCTCCTCGGTCGCTTCTGAAGGTTTCAGAGTGGCTTGGGTGAGCTGCAGAACCTTTCAGCAGGCTGTGGAGCATTAGTGTGATCCCAACTATCTGGCAAAACACAAGCTGTCTTGAAAATCAACAGGATCTTGCTTCCTGTGGTAGTCTGCCTGCTGCCCATCCCAAAGTACTGGAGTCTTAGACCAGTTGACAAAAAAACTCAGAACATTTCCGACAGGACATACTCATTTAGGTAAGGCTTAACCCCACCTTGTGCTGCAATGCTGTCTAGCACTGGTACAACTAAGCCAGCAAGCTGGGTGCCCACAGCTGGCCTCAGATCATCAATAACCGGCTGAAATACCGCTGTCAGCATTTCACACCAGACTGTGGATTCACACAAACTACTTGACATACACCAGAGACTAGTCAGCTGCCCAAACGTTTAGGTTACACGTTGGTACTGACAAATTATCACTGATGGATTCCTTGGCTCTTACAGGTTTTCAACGCTTCCTCAAGAGGCATTCTTCATCTGCGTGTAAACTTCAGTCAGAAAGCAGGGGCCCTTTTCAAGGAGTAGCAGCACCCAGTTGCAATGCAGGCTTTACTACAGCTTTTCCACAGAGCACTCTCCTCTGCTGATCAAAGCACCGCTGCCAGACATCAGTACAGAAAACATCCCTACTTCATACCCCTTCCAGGAGAAAGCGGAGGCACTTCCCAAGTCCTTAAACAATATTTAGGTGGAACTCCATGTAGAGGTGGTTACATATGGAGAAAATACCCTGCGTGGGAGCTGAAAATACACAGTCCCTTCTGACAGCGCCTCAGAAGGTTGTGTATCTCGCTGCTGTTAGTGCATCCCTGATCAGCACGTGAGTAACTTCAAAATACACGCTGAGGTTTTAGCGTTCCTTCAGAAGTGATGTTATAAGCAGTCACCCGAGACATACAGAGCTGTCACACGCTGAGGTTTGTGTATTTATGTGCCGAGTCTTGAAGGTGTAGTACTGACCTACTTCCAAAAGCTCCTGGAAAGGCTCACAGGAAGCACTGGGGAGGGAAGCCACAAAGC